CAAAATAGGTGAAAACCCCGTCAAAATTGTCTATAACGATTTCTAGTTGTTTTTGTTTTACATATTTTCACTCTCAAATCCGTGAGCTAAGTTACCCTTTATTGGGCCTCTAGATCAAAAATTCATATAAAGCTGCACACACCAGATTCTGTTTATATTAACTCAGGACACCTAGTTCACAAGGTCCAATGGAAATAAAAGTCTAAAGGGCCATAACTATGAAAATTACGATCGATTTAGTCTCATTTTTAAAGTCCTTCGAGATCATTTTGACATAAGGCTGCATGCCACGACCACTAAATTTCATTGAAATATTAATGTGTTCACAAGGTCCAAAGGCAGAGGCCGTCAGTATAATTGAATCGGCCTTATTAAAAATTGACTCAAGATAACGATATATGAAACTGTGATATCGTAGCTCAATGCAAGGTGACGTTTTTAGGAGTCGGTAATTGATCTTTCTAGAGAGACTGACATTAGTAGTTCTTTAGAATTAAACTTAAAGGATGTCAAAATGACTAGAAATAGTATAACTTACATCACATGTAAGTTTCATCATTATTGTCTTGTTCATTTCAATGATTGGTCACGTGGTTTCCAGCGATTCATCCACAAATCAAACTGCGGTTTGCAAACAAACCAACATTTCTTAATCGATGAAACCACCAACCTGTGTGATGAAGATGAGGAAAAATTTCTTCGAGGGTCGCGTCTTTTATCGAAACGGGGTTCAAGGCCATCAAACCTGATATCGCTAAAGGAGACAGTTGAATTTCCAAAGGACATCATACCATGATGACCCCGAAATACATCTCGCACGAGACCATCTGATGTACATTTCCCCGTCAGCAATCAATTCCTGCAAAAGACTTAGTAATATCGGGAATATCGTATCAACCAGAAAAAGTCACCGCCGTAGGTCTGAGAAGGGTGAATGTTACTTCCTAGAAAGGGAAACATCAAAGCAGAGGATTTGCGAAACGCGAAAGGACAAAAAAGCACCAGGTGTTGGTTACGGTGTAGCAAAGTAAGAGGTCAACAAAGCTTGCAATTTTCCGAGAGTAAACAACACGTCATCAATATATCTAAAATGAACCATTTTAGAAAGATCTATGTTACCATGGATTAGCTTTCTCATAAAATCTGTTTCGTGTGAAGAAATTAATCCCCATCCATTTCGTTTACCACATACTGCAAAATCATATATATTTTGGTGGTTTTTCAAATAGTAACTAATTCGTGGCTACCTGATTTTATAGAGAAATATAGCTGATAGAATTTGCTTATACTAATTTTAACGGTTCATTGACATATGAAATCATGGATTTAGAACACAAACGAAATCAACAAAAATAATTCCCTCTCGAAAATTAATTATTTTTTATTTTAAAATGTCGTGAACGTTTTAAGACTTTCAATTAAATGAATTCCTCAGAGAAATGTGATGTTTTAACGCTTTTTAGTAATTAAACATTTAGCATGACTTATGTACCATAAAACCAATTGATAAATCATTTCTGAGATCGATAAAAATCATTTCTTTCTTTTGTCATTTTACTTACTAGTATTACTAAGTATGTTGGTATAAAAGAAGTATTTATTATACTACGGTTTGGCTTAAAGGACTGACTACAATGTATGTGCCGTTTCATAACAAACGTGCCCGAATCAAGCGACCGTTAAGAAAAAATTACATATTGGTATTCCTTGCCATTCTTATCGATTAATCAGGATTGCAGACAAATTGTAAAAGCAAAGATTCCAAAAATGAAATGTACAGCGATTTTTTCTTGACTTGAAATTCATTTTGCTGAAAAAGTTTCTTTAGGAAAAAAACAAACAAAACAATCAAACAAACAAACGTACAATCTTGCCAACACATTCATTCTCTTGTGATGAGCATTTTCTCAGAAAGGAAAGAAATAGTAAACATATATGCTTGCTACTTATTCGGGAGCATATTTTTTGCAAACATATGACGCAAGCGAAGGTGAAATATAACAAGGGTCAATGGTGACATTGTTGTGGAATTATGGAATAAGCTCTGGTTAAAACTTGTCTTTGTAATGGATTTTTAGTATCTCCCATCCTCTACCCTAGTTGTGTGTTGTTTTTGCGGAATTTCCGGTATTCGATTCTCGTAACAGACATGAAAAGGTATGGCGTCTCTTGCCCGACCACGTGGGTTTTCCAAATGCATTCCGGTTTCCTCCTATTGAAAGAACCCTCGCGTGCTTCTATCCGGGCTAATAAGAGTGACTGATATAAGCCGATAGCTTGTTTTGCAACTGTTGTAATAGAAAATTTATATTAACTTTAAACTTTTTAATTCTCAATGAGGAATATTACATTTCTTTGTACGATATTAAGCTCGAGCTATTTGATGCTCGTTAGTTTGACTGTTGGTTCCGTTGTTGTAAACTTTGTTCTCATTTGAGAACGTGGCATTACATACTCGGATAGACCGAGGTTTACATGGCGGATGTCGTCGATGAAGCAGAAGACGCTGACTCTTCCGGAACACGTGATCTTATTCTCGTTGCACTTTTTCAGGAGTCTCCGTTTATTATTTTCTTGATTATCTTTTACCTTATTTTGATGGAATTTAAGTTTGGATGTTGACACGTTAAAATTAAAAAAAAAAATTTTTTTTTTACATTTTTTTACAGGTATGGACACTGCACTATTCTTCTTTACCAGGTTTCACATAAATCAATGGAGCATAAGATGAAGGTCCCATTCAACATGCACAATCCATACTCTTTAAACCCTCTCCACTCTTCTACTTACACCGCTCCCATATTTGGACCATACAATTCTTCTTGACCAGAATCCATAGTGTAAAAGGTCAAGGTTACTTTATGAGTAAATTGTATATTGATCCAACCACGGTATCTTCTGGTCTGACATCAGGACTTTTAAGCTATCTCGTGTATAACTTATTATGATACATATGTTGTTTTACTGATCTGTAATAAAGGCCTGTAAGTAGTATTCTTATGTAGTAATCCCAGAGATGAGAAACAGGCTTCTGCACTCGATAGTGCATTCTTGTGATTACCATGTAAAGATAAATCTGTCTTTCCCTAAGGACACGACAGCCCACATATGCCTGTGTTTTCTTTTTAATCTAAATGTCATCCCTCACATTTGGGACACAACAGCACTTGATGTAGTGTACTAGCGATACAGTCCTCATTTTTGACACACGTTTCCAGGATTGCTTGTCAAAGGGTGATGTAGTAAATTCACACCAAGAGGCCCAAGGGCCTCGTAACATGCCATAGAAATGATGGTTTTAAAAAAGTGATATTACTTTCACTATATTGTACAGATAATAAAAATGTAAATTGTGTCAACATTAACTGCAGTCCCATGGTAAGGCTTCTAACCAAGTTTGAATTAAATTCCACTAAATTAAATTATATTAAAATAAATTATATAAAAAAAAGAATTTTCCTATATAAAATCTTCCATCAAACAAGAGGCCCAGAGGGCCTGTATCGCTAACCTGGATCTTTATGACCAACAGTACTATATCTGTGCGTATGTACCACGTTTAACGCATTTGAACCCTGTGACCTTGACTATGGGTCAAGGTAATTCCTTTTTGCAAACTTTCTTGGACTTCATAGAAGGATCATACTGGCAAAAATTATATAATTCTAGGCTTTTCGATATATCAGAAGAAATTGTTTAAACGTTTTAACACATTTAATCCCTGTGACCTTGAAGATTGGTCAAGGTCATTTCTTTTAGCAAACTTTGTAGGACACCATAAGAGGAACATAGTAGTCTAATATAATGATTCTAGGCCTTTCGATATTTGGGGAGAAGTCATTTAAAGGTTTTAACACATTTGACCTCTGTGACTTTGAATATGTGTCAAGGTCATTTCTGTTTGCAAACTTTGTTAAGCTTCATCAAAAGAACCTTCCAGCCATATATAATGATTCTAGGCCTTCCGGTATTTTAGAGGATGTCGTTTAAATGTTTTTACACATTTTACCTCTGTGACCTTGAATATGGGTCAAGGTCATTTCTTTTTGCAAACTTTGTTGGGCTTCATCAAAGGAACCTTTCAGCAAAATATGATAACTCTATACCTTTCGGTATTTCAGAAAAAGTTATTTAAATGAAAAGTTGACAGATGCAGGGGTTTGGCATAACCTCACTTGGCCACTAGGGTCATGAAATTCATAATTTGGTAAAGCATCTGAAGGCCTTTCCGTCCATGAAGATTACTTGATTCTACCATACCTGAGCTTTGAGAAGATTATTGAAATTTCAGTCAATTTTACCAATTTATGGCTCTGCCCAACAGCCCCTTGGGGGTCAGCTTAGGTTTTGAACTGTTTCCAACAGAAAATAAATAATGTTCAAGAAATGTGATTTTCCCATATCAACTAAGCATTAACCCTTCACCAGAGGGAAATGTGAGACCCTGGGGTCATGATGTTTACAATTTTGGTTTCTATACCTGGGATTTGATAGGATTTTTGAAGTTTCAATCAATTTGACCCTTTTTGGCCCCACCCCTCGGGCCCCTGGAGGTTGGGGACCATATGATGTACAATTTTAATGTGCCTTAAACCATGGAGGAATTTTGGAAAATTTCATTAAAATCGGTTCAGGAGTTTTCCAGAATTTGAAAATGTTAATAGTTTACAATGCACAACATTGAATAAAAGGGGATCACAATTTGTCAACCCTAAATTTCTCTCAGGTGACCTAAAATCATGCAATGTTTAACAATATAAAAGTGTGAAAAAAAATCAAACACTTCTGTGTAATGTTGATTGAAATACCTACAACCTATGGGGCAAGATTTTAAAAGTTTTGTAAGTGATTTTTGACAAATCTTAAATTTTTGAAATCTTCAGGTGAGTGTTACCAATTTCTTCAGATCTAGCAACCTTTGTACATATCCATAGTGAAGAAAGATCAATTCATCAAATTTGCAATGAAAAATGCAAGTCACATAGATAAAATCCATGTCTTTTATTTTCAACTGTTCACTCAATAATTATCTTTATTTAAATAAATTCACCACCGATCCAAGTATTCAACAATTTACACAATCTTCCATTTTTGCACATGTGCATAATCATAATATACATCATAATATTTATAGATCATTTAACAAGTTAAAGAATACACTACATACATGAATGAACTTTACACTAAAAACATTTTTTTGTAATGGTAAATAAATAAAAAAAAAAATCCTGACACAGTTTCATTACATGTACATAGATTCTTATATTACAATTATCACACTCAACAAATGGATTTACACACTTTGGAAAAACTCTTGTTTGTTTCAGTCACCAGTTTGTTTATAGAGCTGTAAGAGATCGGACAAAAACTAACTCCAATATCAATGATAATTTGAGCAAGAAATATAATTTAAAACAACTATTTACCGTGAAAATACAATATTATTTCTTAAAAAAAAAAAAAAAAGGACGTCCAAATTTACCTCATGAGCAGAAACTGCAAGACAGTTTTTCTATACCTTACCTGCAATACATTAATGATTTTAAAATGGGTGAAAATAAAATTTGCATAATGTGCCAAACTGGAATGCTATACAGATATTTTACCCTGTGTTTTACTTTGAATTTTCTTTTCAATATTTCATTTTAAAATTCATACCTCAATACTTTTTCTGTAATTTTTTTAAAAATTTTCACTTTGAATTTTTTTTGTGTGTTTTAAAATTTCTACTTTGTTTTCAATAGATCTAGTTTGAATTTTACATATAGTAATCATGGATTCACTTTGGTGTTTAAGAAGCTGTAGACTCCATGTGTGGGATCAGATAGATGGGCAAATATCATACAATATTTTTTTACAGATATACTTCACAAAAACTCTTACATAGTTCCTATATACATTGAAAACATGACCTTAATACACCATGGTTTTGCATATAAAAATCTCTGACATTGCTCTTATCTCTGAAATGTTATTGCCCTTCCGGGTTCAACCCGATCTCCCTGCCGCCTTCTCTCAACAGAAACCCATGCCCCCTCCTCTCACAGAAAATGTACTACGACATGTCTTACTGCTGCTGAAACTCAAGTTTAAAACACCCGATTTAAATCATCCCACAAACTTTCTAACCACGAAGTTCTACTTAGTCCAGTTTTTCTGGTGTAAACACAAAATGACTTATCTGCCTTTATGTATAAACTTTCTCAGAGCTCCTTGGGTTGTCCATTCAATAATAGCGTCATTCTCATCTCAATGATGGAGAAAGTTTGAATAAACCATAAATGCCATCCTCCTGAAAATCCAAACCACATTTTCTCCAAATGGAGTCTACATCTTGAACAAATCTTCCTAATGACAATAGGACCTGTTACAATGTCCACAGCAGCGGTGATTCAATACAATCGTCATTCACACTGAAATCTACAGACACCATATCTGTAATTCTACAAAAAGGGAATACACCAAGTTTGGCAACTTATAATTGGGAGGTTTTTCCTAAAGACAGGATATGTGTACACCACAGGGTGTTAATTCAATAACTGTCACATTCAGCCAAGTGAACAGCCATTCAGAAGTGGGTTTTATAACTTTAGAAGGAAAACTTCCATAAACAACAAAACTGTTTACACTAGTGTGTACAATCTATAATGATTTCAAATATCATCGTTTATAATAATAACATAGGGTTTCGTAACTTATAAACAAAAGTTTCGATAAAACAAAAATTATTTAGACCTCAAGGGCATATAATCTATGATTATTTCAAAGATCATAGTTCTTAATAGCATAGGGTTTTTATAACTTTTCAACATAAATGATTGTAAAGACCTGTTTTTTACACCATAAAGTGTAGAAAAAGATTTACATTATGACTATTCCGGATGTAGGACCATGCAACAATTAAGGGTTTTGTGACAAATGAACGAAAATGTTTACATTGAGATATGTATTAACCTGACATCATTTACAGTACAAAACTGAAGCTGTTGTATTAACACATAACAGTACAAGGTCTCAAGACTGAATACAGATTTTTGTTTTGAAAAAGACTAAGTTATCCAAACATACAATATTTTCAACATTGCAATGATGTTTGTACTTCACCACACAATACCATGTATTTATACTTTTTGTTCACAATTTATGTATACTTGTTTTACAGATATACTGGATTCGAATACTACCTTTTCATATATAAAAAAAAAAACCTCACAGCCAATGTTGTGTTTATCACCGTAAATAGGGCTGATTACAAACAGCCTTGCAGACACAACTAACAGACATCACTTATAGGCAAATACATTTAAATATCATTTTATCCAATTCTTATATTCAGTCAATAACACCAGGAACTGGCTCCCTTAAGGAAACGACCACAAGTTACCTTGACAACCAAATGCGTCTTCTAAAAGTATTTTGATATAAAAACTACCGGATGATACAACTGTCATTCCTCCAGAAAAATTTAGCATATATAAACGGAGCTTTTCTAATCACTGATTTGGTCCATGGACAAATTTATGATGAAAGTTCAAAGGTCAACTAGATAAATGAGGCACTGAAGGTCAGTGAAGGTAGTCTTTCAGGCTAGCAAATGCTGAGGACCCAATACCAGATTTTGACATCAATTTCATACATTCTGTGGACTGGGCTATCACAAGTTCAAGAGGTGGCTGCTTAGGAAGGCCATTGGATTCTGGAAAATGAAATAAAACAAACATATAGACAATATCCTCTTGTTCAAAGATTAAACAGACATGCATTGAACTTCAATGTACTTACATTCACAATAGCATATAGAGTTTGAAAACTTAAATAATTTATTTCTAAAAGAAGGATGTCGTTTTATGATTGGCTAAATTTCAATCACATGATCAAATACTTAAAACCATAATTCTCTAAGGTATGTCAGTATTAACCAAGGACTGGGAAAATTTTATTGTGAAAAAACATTTGAATCCCTCCACAACAATAAGCATCCATTAATAATTTACTTGTACAGGTACCTAATATAGCACTGTTCAGGGCAGCACAAACTGCTTCCCTCTGCACCGGATCCAGCTGGTATCCCATGGGACTATTCCATGGGTCTGAATAGGCTAATAGGCTGAAGGCGTCCTGAAAAATCAAGTAAAATTGTCTTACCTTGTGAAAATCACTGGAGACAACAACTCAAAATAAACTGACACACTTAATATTCAAATAACAACCTCCTCTAAATAACAAATTTCATTATACCCTGTTCATTTGAATTTTCTTACATGTATTTTTTAATCACAATGTATTGATATGTGTTATACAACAAAACAGCTAGTGATAAATTTCTTGTTTGACTTCTTCAGATGTTCTGGTGTGTAGACGACATGACAATTTGAGAAAAATTCTTAAAGAAATAGCAATGACAAGAATTGTAGAAGAAGGGAGAGAGGAAGGAAAGACAGAGGAGAGATGGCCCTCTGACGATGAGCAACTGTTCACCATCTGATGATGGTAAAGTCAATTTCAGAAATCCTTCATAGAAGCCTCCATTTTGACAATTACCACGTGTAGATGATCAATAAAATGTACGAGTTGTATTGATATAAGATACCTGTAATGCTTTTTTGTTTCCTTCATTTTTGCCGTACTGTCGTTTAAGTTGCTGACTCATGGCCTGTAGTTCTTTGCCGAATTGCAACATTTTTTCTACAGCTACCTGACTACCCCCGCACAGCTGTCTCTTGCCTGACGGACCGTCTATGTCTGGGGAGGAACAACACTCTCAATTACTCAGTACATCAGTCAACCTTCGCCTAACATCACATACCAAGGGATGTAACTCTAATAAAAAGATTTGATACATTAATCCAGAAATCTTGGAACTAATAAAACAAAAATATGTACTATTCAAATAAATGTGATTTAAACAATTTCAAACCTAATCAGTCAAATTGGTTTCAATTTAGTTTCTTCAAGTGCATATACTGTCAAATCAAACATTTCTGTGAGACTGAATTTCTGTAGTTTTTCAAAAAGAAAAAAAATCTACTTCCTTGACACATGATTTCATCACTAAATATAGCTCAATGAATCTTCTTTAATTCCAACAGTTTGCTGAAGAATTTGATTAAGAATTGAATTGATTATCCCTGATAAATAAATCATCCACAAAAATTTATAATTTTACAGTTCATTGTGGATTTACATAGGTGGACAATGAGTAGCTTCAAGATCTGTAAATACCTGTACTTGTTTCTTAACGATCAAAATATATATAATGACATCAAAATATTAACGCTTATAAGTAAGTGTGACCTAAATTCAATTTTGGTATACATATATATAGAATTCCTTGAATGAGGAAAAGTCACCTGCAGTAGCAATACCAATAGTGATTACAAATAAATACAAATATATTACAACCAATATTTTTTAACATCCCCAAATACCTGGAATGTTAATTTGTCCATTAAAAAATTCCATACAACTTTGGGAAGACAATAGTCTTTTTTAAAACCAAAAATTACTTCAGCCAGTGTAATAATATATACAGCTATCCCTCTACTGTCTGTATCCATCTTTCTTTAGAGGATATAGGGGAATGTTGATAAACTTGTGGAAATCTTCTCAACAATAGGTGTTTGTGCTATTACAGAAAACTCTCTATTTTCAGGATTCCAAAATTATCAAAGATTGTTCTTAACTTAAAAACTGCGCAAGTCTATTTCTAGAAAATGACATCAAAATTGACAATGTCTTAAATCGCAATAGTATTCCCAGAAAAGTTCATGAAAGATAAAACCTTTGATACACAAACACAGCCTTTACTTAAAAGTAAAATGTATTTACATTTTATCATTTGCTTAAAACATGTACTTTCAGGAAAAAGGTGATATCCATATATTCTGAATATTGAAATGCTAAATGTTGCAATGATTTTGGAGGTGAAACTTTAACTATGAACATGAAAAGATACCTGAAAACCTGCAAAATTGGCCTACTAAAAGAGTCTGTAAACAAAATGTGAAATTTTTTGTCCCTGACGAAAGTAACATCAACATTTAAAAATATTTTTCATAAATTTTCACATATATTGAATATAAAATCCGGCATAGTGTAAACTGGTATGATCACTCAAGGAGGTATCTGTTTAAAAGATTACTATGTATTGGTATCAATGCATCGCAGGTTTAATAAGAAATATATCATGCTGCAGACTTTCACAAAATAATTATCATTAAAATAAAAACCATTAGCCAGGTGTAATCCAAAATGTCCAACATTTACAGAATAAAGACCGCATTCATTTACCTCTTACCTGGTTAGTAACAACTGACACCTTAATTCAGAGGCTAAGGTCAATGGTTGACTCGTAGCTGGATTAATATTTCAGGAAATTTATGGTTACTTTATGATACATTTAGTAAGTAAACACTTGGTGTTATGGTAGGATTGCATGTGTTTACGCGATGGAAGAGAGAAAAATAACACTAACCCATATCTTCTGTCCTACAGTGCTCGTGATCTGTACTCTCACTGTTACCATTAAGGTAAAGTCCATTGGTATTGCCGTTACTCTCCACTGTTCCGTTTGTAACCACTTTGTTATTCAAATCGTGGTAATCATTCACAAGTCCGTCGATCATCTCGACATCGTCACTATCATCAATCAATCGTGAGTTAGAATTGCCGTTTATTGCAATATTTGCAGCATTCATTTCTTCCTCAGATATAGTTTTGAGATCACTGTTGGTGCTGTTCATTGTCTGTGCTTGTGTGGGTTGCTGTGACGTTATGGTGGGGTGGGTCTGAGAGTTGTTCTGACCTGCACTTGCTGACCCTGACACTGAACTATGACCTTTGACACCTATAGGTCGGTTGGGACTGCTGCCCCTTGACCCCACTGGTGTGTTCCGTTGTGAATGTGAGTTTGTGTGGTGGACAGGACTGAGGCTCGGACTTGACCTGTTGCTGCCACTTCCATGACGAGACTTTGGGCTGCGTATTGCATTACCGCGCACTTCACTGTCTGTTCCATTCACCATCTCTATAAATTGTCTACACTTCAACATAAACAATAGATTTAAGTTGCGTTCTAAAAGACCTGGATACAGTTGTGTGGTATTTTCAATGGCTTCTCCCATCCTTCCATAGAGAACTAACTTCTGTATTCCTAAAATCAAACAAAATTGTAAAAAAATTTATCAAGATGTTCATTTGAAATCCTTAAATTGATTAATTAACAATGCTTCCAATTAAGTTTTATCTAAAATAAAAATAAAATCACAATTCAAATCAACATGATGAAAGTTTTGCCATTAACTAAACCATACTCAAACTTAAACATGCAAAGCAAGACGAATTTCTTCACAAAATTCAAGGACATGTTGTATCAGAAAAACGAACACGGTAATCAATGAATATTTCACCTACTTTGTCTGTTTTTCATGGAGGCGAGCTCTTCATCGAACGATTGTCCCGTGGATTTGGCAAAGGCTTCTGCAGTGGCACAATAGCCATGATGTACTAAGTAGGTTGACACGATTCTGTAAATCAATACCCACATATAGATAATATATATAATACTGTTTTCTAGGTAAAAATTGCAATCCTGAACGATTTGAAATTGCAACAGCTTCACCCTGTACAAACCAGTATATCTCTATACCACAACATTACATGTATATCCTTATATATAGTATGACCTGACCTTGGAAACATCACAATCTCCATATTTACAGAATAGCACCATCTGAGAAGGACATAAGAATTTGTGTCTGGTTGTGAAAATTTGTGTCAGGTTGTGAAATTATCTCCAGAAAATGTCAAGTTCCTTCTGCAATTTCACAGCTTATCTTAATTTTGCCAAATAAATTTATTCAAAGACTTCTTCTTCAGATAAAAAACAAAAACTTTTGTTTTGTTTAGTAGTGAAAGTATATCTTAATGCTGTCTTGCAACCAAATTAAAGCCATCTGACTTCAGACACATACAGAGTAGGCCTTGACAGAACTTAGATTTACAAGCACCTTTTAAAATTACATGAATTTCTGTGATAGCCCTTCTTCATTAAAATCAGAAATTCATACCTAGCTGTTTTTTAAGGGAAGATCAAAAACAAATTTTATTTCAAAAAACTTTTTTGGTTTGATGTTAAAAGCTATCATATACCTCTGTAAAGCTGTTTGCCACTCTCCACGTTTGTCGTTCACCGGAAACCGTTCTATAGTAAGTCTTGTCTTCATGTGCCACTCCTGTTGAAGCATGATATTAAAAACTTTAAAGTCCATACCAGTAGGAAATAGTGGCACCTGAGATTTGCACATTAAGGAATAGCAGTGCCAGACATATGCACAGTATGTAATAGTGGCACGAGAAATTTGCCAGCTTTTTGTCATAACTGAAGCAAAATATAGCTATTATATAGTATACAATACATATTTACTAAACTGTGTATATATTATACAGTACTGTAGAAGATTTTACTGTTTTTAAACTTTAAAGAAAATTATACAAGATTGACAAAAATAAATTTTTACTTTTAATCTTGTAAATGGCTTGTTGTGTTCTGTCATATGACCATGTCATAAATATGGAAAGACACATGTACTAACACAATTGTGATTTTTTGACAATATCTGACTGCAGTAGTGCAAAACATACTGTTCATGTCGAAATAAGTCAGTCTTTTAGGATGAATAATTTTTCAGAAGTGTAGGTTGTATGATGAAATGAATCTTACACTTGTGCTAAAAGGGTAGTGACAATTATTAGATAAGTAAAAACATACATAAAATCTGAGGTAAGATAAATAGATTGTTGCTTAATGGTACACAAGGAGAGGGAACCCAAGGTATCGGGTTGCTGTTCATCAAATCTACATCACATACCCTCATATAGTCTTCAATGTCATAGGCAAAGGGGGCCTGACCAAAGTTAGCCTCCACCACCTCCCCGGGACTCTGTAGCCCTACAGTAGGGTATAGATTTTGCTGGAACAAACAAATTCACAAAAAAAAAAATTAATAAATTACAGTGGAAGTTACAATTCTTGTCTGAAAAAAGCCCACAGGGCCAACAGGTTACATTTGTCATGGGCGGGCTTATTACAGGTCAATGACGTGTGTGGTCACATCAATAACCTAGCATTGGCTTATAGAAAATTGTTGCCTGATTAATAAGCTAATTTAATTTGATCAAAATTGTTCCTTGACAAATCAACATTATAAGTACGTACACAAGAACTGGACACCTCCAGCCCTAATCTGATCAACACATGACACCACTTAATTTTCATCACTTCATAATACTATAGAAAACTATACAAAGACTATGTAATGAGAAACAATTCATGTGCTCTCATGCAGTTTAAATGCCTAGGACTGTAATACTTACGGGTAGATCTGTGAATGCAATACCTACAAACAAACAAGTCATGTTAATATAGCTTTATGCTTTTGTGTGTATGCAGAATATATGGTTCTCTTTGTATTATACTGCGATATCTATATAGATTTGCCATTATCCATACTGAAAATATCGGATCAAACAAAATAACAGCAATTTAAGATTCAATCTTTAAAATAAAAACACAGCCACATAAAGATGTAATTTATTTGGACACCCAAATATGCCCAGCAGGACCACTGAATACTGTGAATTTGTAATTAAAAGGGAATTTCACTACCATTAAGACTACACAAAGCTAGATATGTATATTCCCTGCAGGACTTAAATGCACCACAATCCTAAAAAATCAAAATGGCTACAGGTCTATCCATTACATTTACCTGTAGAGTCACAACTCACCTAGATGAACTCCGTTCTTTGTGTAGAAGCAGCTGTTGTCTATGAGGTTCACACAGCACCCAATCACATCGCCTGTCGTGAAGGTTGGTCCATAGGGCTGACCAGTTCCAGAGGAACAGAAAGAATGGCCGTCATCGCCATGGTAACCATACGAATTCTTGTCCCAGCCTTAAAAAATAGTTTAAAGTTATGGTCAACAGAATATTGCAAGTACAAATCCATGGCCAACATTAATTTAAATGAGATGCAGTTTAAAATAAGTTTTCAAAACAGCTTTGCTTGGGTTTGAACCTGTTCCTTTTTACAATGGTTCAATTTTTTGTCTTGTTACTGAAAGTTTGATGCAAAAGATCTATTTTTCACAGAACCTTGAAATCTTGAAGTGAATATGTTTCCTTTTTCTCTTCTGTTTTCAAGATGTCTTATGTTTTGCCATTTCAATTTATCCTCCAAAACAGTGAAGAAACCGTTGAGCACCACAATCTTTTACTTTGAAGCTTATGTTAACACATGTGTTGGAGTTACATAAGTATGTCTGCCAGTAACCAAGGATAAGCTTAGAACTATAAAGTATTATTCACTTGGTTTAGAGGTGTACTTGTGATGCCTGAAATAAAACTTCCCTTTGGTATGTGCAATATATAAACCAAGTTTTCTGACCCTTACTTAACTGTGGGCAAAGTTATGTCACAAAAGGATGGATGGAAAGACGGACAGACAAGCAGACAGACAGACACGGCAGCAACTATATGATCTCCCTAAAATTTTCAGGGAGCATATTAGATTTACTCTAACCAAATCAGAAACTAACCTGCATATTATCATTTAACTACCTATCAAATTAAACTACAGTTTTATCTTACCTGTTGAACAGGAAGTGAACAGAAACGACATTTTGATGCCAGATCATGAAAAGGCAGTCGGGGCATAAAAATAAACATACTGTGATTTGTGTTCTTATCAATAATTAACATCTCTTGTATGTACCAACGTAGTACACAGAATTTTGAGTGACAGAAACTCTAAACATCAGTAAATAAGCATGTAATCTGAATCACTGTTAGCGATGAATGAATCTCTGGGATACAGAAATTAATTCCGAGAGACATTCCCGGTGAGAATGGCAAGGGATCAACACCAAGAGAGCCAAATCAATAAAATTTCCAAGATGTTCATCGCCAGTCAAATCAGGTACCAGGTAAATGAGAACAAGATTTGCAGCTTCCTGGTCACACTGATGTACACGTATATAGTATATAGGGAATGCTTTTTTTTTTAAAACATAAGATTAATGTACCAGCGTAACTTAATGATCGCCACGATCAGACGAAGTATTACCTGGAAGTCGGTTCATGTTAACTCCTTGAGCAGCAAGCCCTATCCCCATGTACCTGAAAAACATAAAATGTTTGGATACACTTAAAATTTTTTCATTTGACCCAGCTGATACTTTCTACAGAGCTATATCAACACACTTTTTACATAGAGCTACATCAACACACATTACACAAACACTTGTGCTAGTCAGAAATATTTTGACATCACACATTGATGTTTGCTTCCCACTTTCCAATGACTGAATATTGAGTTCACTTTCGGTTTCACAAACAGACTAAATTAATTGGAGTATTTTCCTACAGATCGATTGAATTTCAACCAATAACACTTCATTTGGAAACATAACTAGCAGCTGTATACAAACACTGGCTTTATATCAAAGCAAACACCAATCAAAGATTTGATTATTCATATTGTACTAAACAAATGCAACTTGTGCAGTATTTGAAATAACTGAAATATTTACTTCATCAGCGTAATTAAGACAACTTTACGTAACAAGTAGAGAAAGATACATAAAAGTACATCAATCGTCTTAAATAACAACCCGAAAATACCTAGCAACCCTTGCCATCATAATAAAACATTGCTGCATCTCTACATGTGCAGTTCTTGTAGGCCTATATATATCTCTACAGCTGTTAGGTATGCCTTAGCCCCCTGGATCACCGACTTTAAGACATACCAATACAATAGGTACCTGTTGTAATAGCTGTTGTTTATGACTTACCACTATTACAGTGTACAGAGTCTAGACATTAGTAATATGTATACACTATATAGATCAGGAATACTTTTCATGAGATATATAAACCATTGCCAGAATGCCCCGGTCAATAAAACCACCATGAATCGGTCAATTTTAGAATTTGTAGGGGATCCTGATCTCCTTGTGGTCATAAACAACTCGGAGCAAAAAGAAAAAAAAACTATGTGGTATGATATAGATTCATTATTCACAAAAATAAACACACACAAAAAGTCAACATACATGTTTATGAAAACAGCAGTTCAGTAAACAGTTCAAGTAAATATCAACAACGCTATATATAAATATCAACAAGGCTATATATAACCTTCACATGTGGATCATGAGGGACACTTCCTGACATGAAAAGCAATTTTGACACGTGACCAATTTTTTTTTTAGAGTTAGTAATGTAAGAACCACACATTCTGGATTGATATGTAAGGTGGAGATAGAGACACATGGTTCAACACTCCCTACCTGTGGGAGTTTGTGTTTCTCAGTAAACCGAGAAACAGATGAGTCTGTGCTGATATGTTTGTATGTGTCCTTAGCTAGACACTTTACTCCTATAGTTTTGATTGACTAGCAACTAGCCTCCCATATAATGTTCAGTAAGGTAGTCACCAGGTACTACAAGAAGACTGTGCCTAAATACGACCCTGACTGGGGACGATAAAACCCAACAAACAAACCAAAATCATTACATTTTTTTGTTTCCTTCTGCTGTTGTTTCAAGGTTCTACAGCTAGGTTACTCTGGTATTGAAACAAACAATAGATAACTGATCAATACTCGATGTGCAAATGATAAGCACTTTTGCTTTTTCATCACAATTATTGACCCGTCCATTCCAATTATAGTACAACTCCAAATATCAACAATGGTTATGTTTATATACATGTAGAGTTGATAAACATGAAACCGACCAGGTAAGTTTACAAAGTATATGGTTATATCTTGTGATAAATGAATTCTGGCCTTGTTAGTGTAGTTGCTGTTTTGACATTGTGATGTTGTGATATTCATTTTGAAACCTTTTTTATTGATATCTATAATTAGATAATACATTACAACAATTAAATGACTTAGCTAAAACCAGCATGAAATTTGCTACATACATTATCTTGTGAGAGCATTTTCCTACAACCTTGTTTGTATTTGCTTGATATCCAAATAAAAAGGGTCCAAATCCCTGGCCAACACTCATTAATCAACATCGTCCGTGCCAGTCAACACTGCCTGACAAACGTGGAAAACCAAAGCTTTATACATATGTATATATATTACCCCTGTCTGTTTCAATGTTGTTGACACAGGTGTAGGTGTAACTAGCTATATATACAGATGTACAAAACATCTTATATTCACAAAATATAGGATCATCAATGAGAATCATTTCTAACAATGAAAGGAATATCATGGTCACACTGCAGTATAAAATAGCCAATCAGACCTTGTACAAGTTATCACATATCTTGGAGTTTTGTTTATAGTTGTGCTAAATATTGCTTTCTAATTACAAAATGAATAAATTATAGTTAGTGGTGTGCCATGTAATACCGTAAATTTCCTGTAATAAGCCCAGGGTACCAACGCATTATCTATGATATAAAGTCGGGGGCTGGGCCTATAACAAGACCTCATGGGCCAACTTATTACCTCTGAATCAAAGTTACAATGTGGGCTTATTATAGGACCAGAGGTGGACAATCTAGTACATCTGATTCAAAGCCACGGGCTGGGCTTATTACAGGACTTTGGGGGCCAACACATTACCTATTGACTCAAAGTCATAGAATGAGCTTATCACATGACCCCATGTAGCCAATCGTTTATCTCTGACTCAAAGTCAGGAGGTGTGCTTATCACAGGATATTGAGATGATATTTCTTGAATGTGCTACAGAACAACACTACATATAGGTGGGCTTATCATCAGAGATGGGTCTACTGTGTGATAAATGCGGTAACTCTACACGAAATGTACTGTTAACAAAGTGATACATAAATTTTACCTGCTTCGTAATGCTGATAGCGTAACCATACAATATATATACTGTGACTGGTATGTTTTGATTTCCCTGTTGTAGTGCTGGTGTAACTATGGTGTGTATATATATGTTTACCATAACTTGATTATGTTATTAAGTGTCCTGGGTAATTACACTTCTGTGCAATGTACCTAGCCGTGTATACCAAAGCAATTCAATGTGTTACCTCCTGGTGACAGTATGGACGTGCACACTGCAGTATAATGAGTCATCTTAAACATCCCAATTGAGTGTAACCTTACTCCTATGTCAAGCTCCTTTCATAACATATCTGGTACACACGTTATGTACACTATCATTCTTAGGTCCTTCCTCTCCTTTTATCATGCAATTTTGCCAGCTTCTATTTTGTTAAACCTTGTCATCTAGCCTCTATTTTGTTAAACATTGTCATTTGGCCTCTGTTTTGTTAAACCTTGTCATCTAGCCTGTTTTGTTAAACCTTGTCATCTAGCCTCTGTTTTGTTAAACCTTGTCATCTAGCCTGTTTTGTTAAACCTTGTCATCTAGCCTGTTTTGTTAAACCTTGTCATCTAGCCTCTGTTTTGTTAAACCTTGTCACCTAGCTTCTATTTTGTTAAACCTTGTCATCTAGCTTCTATTTTGTTAAACCTTGTCATCTAGCCTGTTTTGTTAAACCTTGTCATCTAGCCTCTGTTTTGTTTAACCTTGTCATCTAACTTCCATTTTGTTAAACCTTGTCATCTAGCTTCTATTTTGTTAAACCTTGTCATCTAGCCTGTTTTGTTAAACCTTGTCATCTAGCCTGTTTTGTTAAACCTTGTCATCTAGCTTCTGTTTTGTTAAACCTTGTCATCTAGCTTCTGTTTTGTTAAACCTTGTCATCTAGCTTCTGTTTTTTAAACCTTGTCATCTAGCCTGTTTTGTTAAACCTTGTCATCTAGCCTGTTTTGTTAAACCTTGTCATCTAGCTTCTGTTTTGTTAAACCTTGTCATCTAGCCTGTTTTGTTAAACCTTGTCATCTAGCTTCTGTTTTGTTAAACCTTGTCATCTAGCTTCTGTTTTGTTAAACCTTGTCATCTAGCCTGTTTTGTTGAACCTTGTCATCTAGCTTCTGTTTTGTTAAACCTTGTCATCTAGCTTCTGTTTTGTTAAACCTTGTCATCTAGCTTCTGTTTTGTTAAACCTTGTCATCTAGCCTCTGTTTTGTTAAACCTTGTCATCTAGCCTGTTTTGTTTAACCTTGTCATCTAGCCTGTTTTTAAACCTTGTCATCTAGCCTCTGTTTTGTTAAACCTTGTCATCTAGCCTCTGTTTTTTAAACCTTGTCATCTAGCTTCTGTTTTTTAAACCTTGTCATCTAGCCTGTTTTGTTAAACCTTGTCATCTAGCTTCTGTTTTTTAAACCTTGTCATCTAGCCTGTTTTGTTAAACCTTGTCATCTAGCTTCTATTTTGTTAAACCTTGACATTTAGCTTCTGTTTTGTTAAACCTTGTCATCTAGCCTGTTTTGTTAAACCTTGTCATCTAGCCTCTGTTTTGTTAAACCTTGTCATCTAGCCTGTTTTGTTAAACCTTGTCATCTAGCTTCTATTTTGTTAAACCTTGTCATCTATCCTCTGTTTTGTTAAACCTTGTCATCTAGCCTCTGTTTTGTTAAACCTGGTCATCTAGCCTGTTTTTAAACCTGGTCATCTAGCCTCTGTTTTGTTTAACCTTGTCATCTATCCTCTGTTTTGTTAAACCTTGTCATCTAGCCTCTGTTTTGTTTAACCTTGTCATCTAGCTTCTGTTTTGTTAAACCTTGTCATCTAGCTTCTGTTTTTTAAACCTTGTCATCTAGCCTGTTTTGTTAAACCTTGTCATCTAGCTTCTGTTTTGTTAAACCTTGTCATCTAGCTTCTGTTTTTTTTGTCATCTAGCTTCCTTGTCATCTAGCTTCTGTTTTGTTAAACCTTGTCATCTAGCTTCTGTTTTGTTAAACCTTGTCATCTAGCTTCTGTTTTGTTAAACCTTGTCATCTAGCTTCTGTTTTGTTAAACCTTGTCATCTAGCTTCTATTTTGTTTAACCTTGTCATCTAGCCTCTGTTTAGTTAAACCTTGTCATCTAGCCTGTTTTGTTAAACCTTGTCATCTAGCCTCTGTTTTGTTAAACCTTGTCATCTAGCTCCTATTTTGTTTAACCTTGTCATCTAGCTTCTATTTTGTTAAACCTTGTCATCTAGCCTCTGTTTTGTTAAACCTTGTCATCTAGCTCCTATTTTGTTAAACCTTGTCATCTAGCCTGTT